TAAAAAAAAATGGAACCCATAAAAAAATATTGAGTAGTGGGATAGGATTAAAAACGGTTTGTGAAGCCTTTTATTTTTTGTGTGTGGAAATTTCGAGGTTTTTGAGCAGGACTTTCATGAGTTCCAGCAGTAGGCTAACTCGAAAATATACCGTAAATGCTTTTCCATCCGTTTTAAATTGGCAATGAATTTCCAATTTGGTCTGCGATTTTCCCTTAAACTTCGCTACAACTGCTCCAAGGATTCCCAGCAAAATTTCTTCAAGAGCTGCACTCAGATTCAGAATAAAAGCCAAATTTTTTTGGCGGCCTTCATTAAGAGAAAAAAACTTGACCTAATTTGCTACCATTAAAAAAAGTTGATTACTATATCACCAATCGTAAAGTAAAGTCTGTTCCCGACAGGGTTTTTTCAAAACTATTTTTGAGTGCTTTTTTAAACTAGAGGCACTAGAAAATGAACGGAAGTCTCCTTTTCTGAAGAGTCTCTCATTATTATTTTTAAATTAATGAATATATTAGTTAGGCTTCATCCACCAGCAATGATTTTGGGTGATACTGAACACTTTTGAGAAACCCTCAGCACGAAAGACTCAATTAATTTTGTTCGCTGAACCGACAATAAAATATATAATAATACCTTGCTGAAGAGATGAAAGGAAGACTTTCGCTTGTCCAGCCATCAGGATCGGATTTAAATCCGAAATGGGACTTGAAGTGACGATATTTCCTCCCAAGGCCTATTAACGAATTCCAAAAACCACAAGATCATTTTTAATAATTCAGTTTTAGACGCTTGAAAAATTTTACCGCAACATTTCGAATTTGTTTCCCCGCGAACCACTCCAGCATTTCGAGGATCGTTTTGAAAGTCGACGTCTCGTACTCTGGAATATTTGTGCAAATTGAAAAATAAAATCTTGGAAATCTTTTTCTTTGTGTTGAAAATAATAAAAACCTTTGTTTTGTGCGACAATTGTTCTGAGATAATCCTCGAGTTTCGACAAAGTGGCAGCAGCTCCAATGCGAACAGCTCTTGAGCCATCATCAAGAACCACAACTTGGAGCACATGAAGTTCTTTGATCGCTTCTGAACTGATCAGCACCGGATATTCATTCCCTTTTTGTCTCACTTCCAGCCCTGATAATTCAAAAAAATATATATACATAAATCCCGGTTATTTGGAGTAACAAAATAGATAAACTTTGTTGAAAAGGGCGCCAGGAGAAATTATACTTGCCAACTTCGGTGTTCCCTCCGATGATCTTCGCTTCCGGGAATTTTTCTTTCAGTTCCAAAATTTCCGCTAGAGTCACGGGCCTGTACCAAGAAAGTGTTTTGCCGTGGAAAGAAACACTTCGTCCTTGCAATGCATCAGCATTCATCTTCAGAATTTAAAAAAAAGCGTAAATTTAGGTAGATTTCACAGAATTTAAAATTTTACGAAAATTTGGGAATCGACTCGAAGCATGCGACGAAATCCCGATATTGGCTTAATTCATGGGATGCAATATTCATTTGCGGGAATTTTAAAAATTTAATTAGATAAAAAGACTTATTGACCTTGAAAATTCGTTCAACTTCCCAATATAATTTGCAAAAAAAATATCACTAGGAATTGTTGATGAAGGTCTATTAGAAATCCGCGGAATTATTTCGAAATTCAATTACGGTGAAGCAAAAACTAAACAAAAACCCTCACAATAATATTTAGATTTCTCTCTCTCTCTAAACAAAAAGACATGAATACAGGCTGGTTTCGAATTTTCGAAAATGCCTCGCACTGTAATTTCGTGGACACGCAAGTCACAAAAGAATATGCGTTTAAATTTTCACCCGAGTTTTTTCTTGCACAAAGTCTTACAAACACCGACTTTCTCATTAATTTTGTGGAATAAACTCACCTCTAATTCCGGCGGAA